GCTCCCGCCACCCCCGCGCCAGCCGCCACCCCAGGCGCGAGCGGCCCGCGGCGCCCTGCGCTTGCAGCGGCCCTTCCTGCGCGGCCCGCTGGGCGTGCTGCGGCTGCTGCAGCTGCTGGCGGGAGCCGCCTTCTGGATCACCATCGCCACCAGCAAGTACCAGGGCCCGGTGCACTTCGCGCTCTTCGTGTCGGTGCTCTTCTGGCTGCTCACTCTGGCCCTCTACTTTCTCACGCTGCTGGGCAAGCAGGAGCTGGTGCCCGTGCTGGGCTCTCGCTGGCTCGTGGTCAACGTGGCGCATGACCTGCTGGCGGCCGGGCTCTACGGGGCCGCGACGGGCATCATGATCGACCAGACGCAGCGCCACAGCTACTGCAACCTCAAGAATTACAAGCTGCCCTGCGCCTACCACGCATTCCTGGCGGCCTCTGTCTGCGGCGGCCTCTGCCTCGGCCTCTACCTGCTGTCGGCGCTCTACGGCTGCTGCCGTCGCTATCAGGGCAAGCAGGAGGTGGTGTGAGGCCGCCCTCCCCGCGCGGCCCGGATCAGGACGGGGGACCCTCCGGAGTCCCTCCTGCCGCTGCCCCGCGCCGGTGCGCCCTGGCACCCTCTCCCCTGTTTGTGTTTCCACTGCCCGCGCCCTGGATCCCCGACGTTAAGTTCCAGTCCAACTGCGGCGCCGCCGCTCTAAGCTTGGATCGCAGCTTCCAAGGACCAGACCTGCCATCCGAGAGGCTGACGCACACACCCAGATGGGCCGCCCTAGGCGAAGCCTCGTAGTTCTTTTCTCCATTCCCTGCCGAGAGCTAGACGTGGACAGGCACCGCCGCGTAGATCCGGGGGAGGCTCCCAAATTGAAACCAGGCTTTGGGCTGCGCCACTGCCCCCTCCCTCCTGCCCCGAAGTCGGAAGAGCACCCCCTTTCCGGGTCTTCCAGTCTTCCACTGTGGGATAAGGAAGAAGGCGGTTAGGCGGCAGCAGCAGGAGCTGGGGGACAGGCCTTAGAGCGGATGCCCAGAGGAGGACGAGTTTGGTTGTAGTTTGGGCCCCTCCCTGTGCAGCCCTGGATGCTTCTAAGTCTTTGGGTGGGGCCAGTTGCAGGGGTGGTGGATGGGAAAGGCCTTCGGGCTGTATCGTAACACCTTTCAAATAATCTCTGCCTCTGGGTTCATGCAAAACTAACCTCCCTGGCCTCCCAGACTTCACTCACCAGCTTCTGCTGCACCCTACTCCTCAATATCTATTTGCATTAGGGATCCCACGTGACCAACAGGGACGGTCAGGGTGAGGCCCACCCCTTTGGAGACTCAGTTCCTACTCTTGGGAATAGCCAGTTTAAGATTGGAACCCCACTCTTTCCCCTAAAGCAGTGGGTATGAGTTTGGAAGCAACTCAGGAGCTACCTTCAAAAGGGTTAGAGGCCAAATGGGTCTTGTCAATGGTGCTGTCGCCCGGGTAGATTCACAGCTCTTGTTACGGAGGGAGGACTCTGAGAAATCCCACAGGTACAAGTCCACCAGTAATACTTTAGTTTTACTGCATTAACTACTACTGGTCCTGAGCCATTTCCACCTTAAGATTCTAGGAAGCCCTGTGCTGTCCCTATTCGAGTTCATTCCCACGGTTTGGCCCATTGAAGATTGGGAAGATCCTCTTTCCCAGGGAATTTCTCTAACTGGGGATCCTCCCCAATGGCAAGAGTCAGATATCCCTCACCAGCCAGAGAACTGTTGAACATTTCTTTACATTGGAGAAATGAAGCTAAGGTTATCCAGGTGGTTTCCCAAAGACAAGAGTCACCTGTAAGAGATCCTGGCATTGCCTCGAGCAGCTGGCGTGGTGAGCCTTGCTCACCAAATTAAAAAGAAATCTCTGGACCTGGGGTGGACAGCTGGCCCCACCTCTAAGGTAAGATGCTTTTGGTTTACTGGAAGGAGTCATAGGCCTTTGAATAAAAAGCATGGTACCACCTCCTTTTCCAAAAATGAAAATGTTTTTGAGAGTAAGTTGGAGGAGTGACGTTAATAATCATAATGTCCATAGATGTGAAAATTCAATATTTTTGTCAACTCCTTCAAAGGTCTGTTTGAAAAAGCTCAGCTTTCTCTGGAAACATGAGAAACCATGTGTTACAGATGGAACCTAGAGCCTTACTCACTTGGAGTAAGCACTCTTGACACAGAGTCAAACCAGCTCCTGCAAGTGCATTTTTAAAGCTTGGATGTAGAGATGTTGGATTTGCTGCTGTGGTTATGAAGGTGGTGTTTGGAGCCAGAGTATAGAACAGGGCTGTGAGATTTACATAGCACTTAATGTAGCCCTATTGTGTGGGTACACTGCTCCAAGTGTTCTACTTGTATTTGTGTATTCTTTGAATAATACTATTGAGATCAGTGTCCAAGATCTCCTTCCTAATCAATGGAGATTGGCTTTGAACCCCCGACAGTCTGGCTTTTCTAGCACCAGGTTGCACCATTATACTAAGGGTCAATACAAATTTAATACTGTTTATATTTTTCTTTGGGGGCTGGGTTGTGGTTCAGTGGTAGAATGTACAGCATATATGAGGCCCTTGATTCAATATCCAGCACCACAAATACAAAGGCTATGGGAACTTCCACTCTTCTGCTCTTTTTTCTCTTTGGGAAATCCCAGAACATTCAACCTTACACATCCTTTGCTGTGTTGGTGGGCTGGCCCCACTGCCATGTCCCAGAAAGGGTGACTTCCTTCAGTCCCAGGCTATGGTAGGCCTTGATGGGACCCCTGGGGTACCTTAAACAGCCAATGACTTTTGTTCTTATGTTGTAGGTTTCCATGTTGCTGAGGCCTTGAGGAGTCTCAGAGAAGTCAAGCTGCCAGGTCCTGCCTGGCTGGCAACACTGTTCTTCCTGGGTCCAGAAGAAGGTTTGGGAGTCATCACTTGCAGTGGGACAGGTGGGAAGCTGGGATACCCTCTGCCCAACAGTTGCCTATGTATGCCATCAGTGGAAGAACCATGGTAGAGAAGAATGATTTTTGCCTTGATTTGAGAGAATGTTGGATTCTCCTGTAACTATGATTTTGGGCACAAGACTCCAGACACCTGAGACTCTGCCTTCCCATACCCTAAATTATGAATTTCAGTTCTGGCTTTTACTCTTTTCCCTTTTGTCTTTTGTACATCATCATCTAAGCTCAGGTCCAGCCCCCTCAGGATCTCCTCAGTCCCAGTGCTCTGGGTCGGTGGCCTTGTGACCTTACTCAGGAGCAGACATCTTGGTCTTTTTGGTGCCTCATCCGCCCAGATGTGCCTGTAGTATCCCAGAGCTCACTAGCTCTTCCATGTGCCTCCCAGCTTGGCTTCCAGCAGCTGTGTGGTCCCTCAGTCTGCTAGTTGTGAGGATGATAGATGAGACTGCTGTGACACCCACCTTTCCTCAAATTTCATGGTATGGGCACCTGAAGTAGCCCCGAGCTTTTGGATACTAGCAATAGTCTCCTTGCCTTAACTCTCTGACACCAGGACTGGGGCCAGCCCAGGACCACCCCCAGCAGCTCAGAGTTTAGTAGTCTGGGTCCTCTTGTAGGCCTGGGAGACAATTTCTACAGTGTATACAAGAGAGGTGGGTTTTTGGTGTGGGGAGAATGACTAGGGATAGGAACCATGTGCTTTACCCAGTAGTGTAGTCATGGTTACCAGTATGCTTTTCGGAATAAAGTTTGGTTTGTCTGCTCTTGTGTTTGTGTTTTGCATCCTGGTCCTCTGTGGGAACTTTCTGCTGGGTTCCCCCAACCACCTTCCCTCGCCTTCTGGGAGGGAAGGAAAAATGAGCTCACAGATTTCCAGGGTGGTTAGGACCAGGGGCCAGGGGTTGCCTGAGGGCGGGAACCAGAGAAAAGCTGACTGTCCTTTGTTGGTGTTGGAAGGAATTACAGAGTTTCCCTCCCTCCTAGCTGCTCTCAATGGGTCCCTGTTTGGGAGTGCCATTCCCTGTCATGATGGGAATGACCATCTTGTAGAGCCTGCAGAGCCTTTTTTGAGTGCAACCCCATCATACAAAGGATGAATCAAAGTCCCCAGGGCACATAGGTAACTTGTCTAACATCTTACAGCAGAGTTGGAGTTGCCTGGAGCTCAGTTCCTGATTTATTCCTGCTGTGCCTGGCCTGTGGCCCTGGCTGTCCAGAGGTTGTCTGCCAGCTGTTGCCTTGCTGACTGAGATGCCCTGGAACTGTAGGTCTTGGGGCAGAAGGGAGTGGCTTCCTGTGTACTGCCTGCCTGTGCCTGCTGCTAAGAAATAGGATCCTGCTGTCATGTCAGAGCTCAAACTCCCTGGGAACAGCACCAGCTGGGATGTGATGCTGTGTGTACACTAAGCCTGCTCCCTCTTCCCTAGAACCTTCTTCAATATGAAAATTCAAAGGCATGGCTGCATACTCATCTCCCCTTCTCTTTGTGCTTTGGTTTGGGATTTCCATGGCAGAGGGAAATGCCACTCACTGTTGAGTTCCCTTCCTTACTTACCTCTTCCCTCTCCTGTCTAAGTTTTTCTTTTTTTCTTTTTTTGGTGTTTTTGAGACAGGGTCTCCCTGTAGCCCCAGCTGTCTTGGAACTCACCATGTAGACCAGGCTGGCCTTGAACTCACAAAGATGCGCCTGCCTCTGCCTCCCAAATGCTGGGATTAAAGGTGTGCTCCACCACACCTGGCCCTGTCTGTATTTCTATGTGGGTTTGTATGTGCATGTGTATGGGTAAGCATACACGTGGAGGCGAGATGTTGATATCAGATTTCTTCCTCAATTGATTCTCCAGTTTATTTGTTTGAGATAGGATCTCTCACTGAACCTGAAACCCACTGACTGGCAAGGCTGACTGGCTGGAAAGTCCCAGGGATCCTGCTGTCTTCACTGCCTCATCTCTGGGATTACAGGTGTGCCACTATGCCCAGCTTTTAACTGGGCATCTGCTTGCACAGCGAGCACTTTACTGAGAGCCATCTCCTCAGCCCTCTAAATTTCATAGACATCTAAAACTGGCGCAGCTTCATGTAGGGGTTGGGAAGCCTGTTCTGCCTTACTAGTTTGCTGGTGAATTTGCAACTAAGAATGTGCTTTTAACTGAACTACTTTAATCCTTTATTTAGTTTTTTATTATTTTATGTGTATGAGGGAATTGCCTGCATGTATGTAAGTACATCCATGTTATACAATGCCCATAGAGGTCAGAAGAGAGCATCGGATCTCCTGGAACTGGAGTTATAGCTGGTTGTTAGCTGCCATGTGGGTGCTAGGAATCGGACCCTGATCCTCTGAAAGAGCAGCCAGTATTCTTAGTCTCTAATTTATCCTTTAAAACATTTTATTTAATCAGGTGTGGTGATGCATGCCCTTAATCCTTTCACTTAGGAGGCAGAGGCAGGTGGATCTTTGTGAGTTTGAGACCTGCCTGGTCTACATAGTTCCAGGCTAACTGGGGGTACAGAGAGACCTTGTCTCAAAAAAAGACATATACAAAAAAAGTTTATTGATTGATTTCTGTGTGATGAGTGTTTTGCTGGCATGTATCTAAATGCATTACATGTGTACAATGCCAGTGGAAGACAGAAGGGGACATTGGACCCCTGGAACTGGAGTTACAGATAATTGTTAGCTACCATGTGGGTGCTGGGAACCAAATTCAGGTCCTTGGCAAGAGCAGCCAGTGCTCTTAACCACTGAGCCATCTCTCTAGCTCCTTACTTTTATTTAATCTTCATAGAGATCAGCATTGCCACCCCTGACTCTATAAAGGAAATGGGAACCCTGGATAAGGAAAAGACTATCCAGGGTCACACAGCTAGGTAGGAGCAGAACAAGGACTAGAAGGCAGATGCTCTTTTAAACTTTGTGGTCCTTGGCAGACTCTGAAAGCTTAAGTGGAGGTTTTTAATCATGGAGACCAGGCAGTCAGGATGGCTGTGATTTTCCTGGTGTGTGTGTGTGTGTGTGTGTGTGTGTGTGTGTGTGTGTGCTGTGCACTTGCATTGGGGGAAGGGCTCTGTGAAATAAGACACTGCTTCTCAGGAACATAATGAGCCCCTTACAGTCTGGGAAATCCCAGGGATTTACTCACATTTCCCATTTTCCTAAGCGGAGGTAGAGTGGTCGGTGGTAAGAAAGAATTAGTAAGATAAACCGGGTGTGGTGGTACACACCTTTAGTCCCAGCACTTGGGAGGCAGAGGCAGGCGGAGCTCAGTGAGTTCAAGGCCAGCCTGGTCTACATAGTGAGTTCCAGGCCAGCTGGGGCTATAGGCAGGCCCTGTCTCAAAAAGACCAAAAAAAAAAAAAGAAAAAAAATTAGGACACTACCATTTTCTGGCAGAAAGGGGCAGCAAGGATATAAAGGAGAAAGGTCTGATGAACATAATTTATGTAAATATTTCTTGTTTTATTTTTTACAATATTTATTTGCAAAACAATAGTACTATACAAAATGTTTTCTTATATTAATATATTAAAATATAATAGCAATATATGCTCATTAAAAACTTAATTTGGGGCTGGAGAGATGGGCTCAACTGTTAAGAGCCCTGGCTGCTTTTACAGAGGACCCAGGTTCAGTTCCCAGAACTCACATGGTGGCTAACAGCCATCTGTAATTCCAGTTCCAGGGCTCCAATGCCCTCTTCGGACCTCCATAGGCATTGCACACATGGTGCACTTAACATATATGCAGGCAAAACACTCATACACTGCAGTGTTTATCATTATACCAACATTACAACTATCCTGAACAGAATAAAAGCGTGACTTTTAAAAGAAGTTTTTTTTTGGTCTTTTTGAGGCAGGGTCTCCTTGTAGCCCCAGCTGGCCTGGAACTCACTATGTAGACCAGACTGGCTGTGAACTCACAGAGATCTGCCTGCCTCTGCCTCCCAAGTGCTGGAATTAAAGGTGTGCGCCACCATACCCAGATATAAGAAGTTTTTAAAAAATATTTTTTATTATTTTTATTTTATGTGTATGAGTGTATTGCCTGCATGTATGTGAGTGCACCAGTGTTGTGCAATGCTGCGGAGGTCAGAAGAGGGCGTCAGACTCCCCTGGAACTGGAGTTAAGGACAGTTTGTAGCTGCCATATGGGTGCTGGGAATCGAACCCTGGTCCTCTGCAAGAGCAATCAGTGTTCTTAACCGCTGAGCCATCTTTCCAGCCCCTTAAAATAAGTTTTTAAGAGTGTGCCTGAACCAGAGGACAGCTCTTCCCCCAGATGTCTCTTAGAACTGTGCTGATGGAGCTTTCTGTGTCCACACCTTGTGCGAATGGAACTGACTCTGGAACCCTCTTTCTCCCACTGTGTCCCCCAGTCAGGCTACACCAATAATTTATTCAATGGTTTCTCTAGGTTCATTGGGGAAGTACAAGTTTAAGTTCGGCTCTACCTTCAGTCCTAACAGACCATCTCATCTGGTCCTTTCATCCCTAGTTCACATACATCCAAAGTCACGTGTCCTTCCTAACTTCCACTGTTTCCAGTGGGTGGGTGCTCTGCTTGTAGCGTCTTGATATGTTCATTCTCAAGCATACCCACATTCATTTATTCCCTTTTGGGTAGAGGACCAAACTGAGTTTGCCAAGGAGACTCCCCAGTTATCAGACCCAAGAGCATGGTTTGCTGGGGTTAATTAAAAGTCATTAGCCCAGATTATGTCTAATAATAAAAGTCATTCCTATAATGCACATGAAATAAAAACAAGCAAATGAAAAACTCTAATTTATTTAAAATATTTATTCTTTTGCTGGGTATGGTTTATGTGGTGCTGGAAGTACTTTGTACATGATAAGCTACACACATACTCTACCAACTGAGCTACACACAACTCTACTATCCTCAGCCCCAATTTTAAAATTTTCCAAAGATTTTATTTTTATTTAATTTTTAAAAATTTATTTTTATTTTATGTGTATGAGTGTTTTGCCTGCATGTATGTAAGTGCACCCATGTTGTGCAATGCCCAAGGAGGCCAGAAGAGGGCATTGGATCTCTTAGAACTAGAGTTATGAATGGTTTTATTTGCCATATGGGTGCTGGGAACAGAACCTGGGTCCTACACAAGAGCAGCCAGTACTCTTAACCACTGAGCCATCTCTCCAGTCCCAAGATTTATTTTAATCACATGTATGTATGTGTATCTTTTTGTGGGTATGTGCACATTCCCTCAGAGGCCAGAGGCATCAGATTCCCTGGAGCTGTAAGCCACTCAATATGGGTGCTGGGAACTGAACTTGGGTCCTCTTCAAGAGCAATACTTGTTCTTAACCTCTGAGCCATCTCTCTAGTCTCCCATTTAAAAATTTCTAAACAGAAATATACAAAGTAGAAAAGAATTCAACCATTTTAATCTCATACTCTAGAGATAAAATCATTGTTAACCATTAAATTTTATTTACTGTCTTTTTAAACTTCATGTGTATGAGTGTATTGCTTGCATGTATGTAAGTGCACCGTGCAATGCTCTTGGAGGTCAGAAGTGGGGATTGGATCCCCTGGAAACCAGGTCCTCTCTAAGAGCAGTCAGTGCTTTTAATTGCTGAGCCATCTCTCCAACCCTAAATTTTATTTTTTATAACTAGTTGAACACATGGATGCACATCCACACATACAGACTCTTTTATAGTTTGCTTTTTAAATTTGTGAATCTCAAAGTTTGAACTCTTTCTGTATATTCATATAAGCAATAGTCAGGGATGCAAGAATTCTGGGGGCTTTCTGGAACTTTTATAACTTTTTTACATTGTTAACTTTACCACTCCTTTGGCTACTTCCATAAATATCTTAGAAAAACACTTAACAGGAGGACACTGACGTTTAGTGGAGTTAAGTGGTTCACTCAGGTCTGCACCCTTTCTACCACATCCTGTCAAGAGGAACAAGGAGGGGCGAGAGCCTTGGGGCCACTGTGTCCTATCCTAGAGCTAATCTTGGGGAAAGGAACCTTGTGGACTAGAAGAAGTGAAGACAGCTGGAATGAGGTGAGGAGGCTCTGAGACCTCTGTTCTCTCTGGTGTAAAGTGTACTGAAGAGAAAGGGGAGGTGGTCAGAACCCAAGAAGAAGATGTGGCCACAGTCAGGATCTTAAAGCTTGCCCAGCCCAGCTTCCCAGCTTCATCATCTTATGGAAATCTTAAGGAACCAAACTGGTTCCTTCTAATCTGAAGCCAGTTTGCCTTCTTCCCACTCCCGCCCAACCCCCATTTTTTTTTCTTTTCTTTCTTTTTTTTTTTGGTCAGGAAGCCCAGGCTGGCCTCAAACTCTCTATCCTCCTGTCTTGGCCTCCCAAGTGTTGGATTACAGGCGTTCACTACCACTCCTGGCTACCCCCCCCCCCCCCCTCCTAGTTTTACTATGTAGCCCCAGCTGGCCTGGTACTCTATATAGACCAGGATGGGCTCAAACTCACAGAGATTTGCCTGCCTGTCTGGAAAGTGCTGGGATTAAAGGTGCGTGCCATTACATCTGGCTATAACCCCATTCTTTTTTAACTTGGCAGTTACTTGATATCTTGCAAATGCCAAGACTGAGCTGTTCTTCCCTGACACAGTGTTGGGGGGACACAGCGAACAGTCTGAGGCAGATAGATCCTCTAGGCTTCACACTTGCTTGTCTCTCTGGTGGGAAGCAAGTTCTCTGCACTGTCATCTCCAGAGGGCGCTCTGATCCCAACTGTAATACACTTGAGTGCTGGGCAGAGGGACAACTAATTTAATTACACAGTGCCTGCTGTGAATCAAGAACATGATCCTCTCAATCTGGTGGAGTATGAAATGCTTAAGAGTCATGGAAACAGGTTTTTAGAAGTAAACAGACTTGCTAGGGCACTTGACCCCTAGTACCAGGAAGATCTGTACTACCACACCCTGCAGTTCCAAGGACTTCCCAGTACACAAACTTTTCCTAGGCATCCATCCCATTGTTATGGGGGCCTGGAAGTTCTATTACAGAAATAAATCAGCAGATAGAGATTGGTGGACCAGATAGTTTTATTCAAGCCTGGGCCCATGGGAACATGGGATAGAGCCGATCTCATTAAAAAAAAATAAATAAATAAAATCCAGAGCTGGAGAGATGACTCAGTGGATAAGAGCATTGACTGCTCTTGCAGAGGACCCAAGTTCGATTCCCAGCACCCCCATGGCAGGTACAAACCGTACTTAACTCCAGTTCCAGGGAAATCCAAAGCTCTCTTCTGATCTCTGAGGTATTGCACGACACGGGTGCACTCATATACATGCATGCAGTACACTCATACACATAAAATAATAAAATAAAATAAAATATTTTTTTTAAAAATCCCTGTTTTCAAAATCTGAATTAGCCTTAGGAGTTTTTATGGGGTGATAGGTGGATGATTCTTGCTTTTGGAGAAGCTGATACTCAGGCTTGGAGAAGCTCTTTGTTCTTGTAGGTTCTTTGAAGGATTTATAGGGTGGAGACTTACTCTGTCTTTTGCTTTGAAATTATTCTTCTGGCTCTGTGCCATGTCCTTGTTAACACACTAAATTTCCAAGAAACAACAACAACAACAATAAAAACAAAACAAAACGGTGATAGCTGGGCATGGTGGCCTTTGATCCCAGCACTAGGGAGGCAGAGGCAGGAGGATCTCTGAGTTCAAGGCCAGCCTGGTCTACATAGTGAGTTCAGCTGGGGCTACAGGGAGACCCTGTCTCAAAAAGACCAAAAACAAAAACAAAAACAAAAACGGTGATAGGCCCAAGCACCTTGTGGAAAGGGTAAGCTATTAGAGGAGATTAAGGAGAAAGAAGAAAGATGGATTGGCAGCACCTTGTTCACATTCCGGTAAAGTCCGGCAAAGGAAAGTTAGCCCTTCTTGGTGAGGCATGGCTCTTCCTTCTTAAATTCACTTTATTTTCTCTTTGTAATTTTTAGTCTGTTCTGTTACACAAATACTTCATCCAAATAAAGCTTGTCTGAGTTTATTTCTATCTTTGGTCAGGGCTGGAAGGAAGGACTGTAAAAAAAGCTAACTATTACAAATCTGGATTCCATCAGCTTTTCTCTGACAATGATGTTAGAGTTCCCTTCAGGTTTAAACAGCTCCCCGTGCAAAATCCAGCTTTCCTGATCCCTGGATAGGGTTCCTGTCTGCCAGATGTGAGAAGGACTGGGAGACAGCCCTGCACCCAGCATATCCCTCTCCAGGCCAGGGCCTTAGGTGTAATCACTGGGTCTAAGCAGAGCCTTCCTTCTCTCTCAACCCTGTCTCTTACATGCTCCTGCCAGCTCCTTTTGTTGTTCCCAAACAGTTAACATAACTGGCTCTGATTTGTAGGGGAGTTCATCCTGTGAAGTCAGATATGAACCCCAAATCTTTTTAGTTGGTCTGTTCTGAGGCAACTTCCAAAACCTCTGCATCAGCAAGTGCTTCATTACTCAGCCAGTGGGGATAATGCCAGTGCCTCTTTCACCGTTCTGTGGAAAGAGCATCATGCATGAGATGTGGTCCATAGAGCAGAAGGCCCAGCAGTGAGATGCATACAACTCAGCTCTCAGCAGCAGGGCATCCTCAGCAGAATTGTCCTAAGACTGTAGATAAAATGCTGAGCTCATAGCCTGCCCATATCATCTGTGTGTGTGTGTGTGTGTGTGTCTGTGTGTGTGTGTGTGTCTGTGTGTGTGTGTGTGTGTCTGTGTCTGTGTGTCTGTGTCTGTGTGTAGGTCCTGGGGATTGAACTCAGGTCATGTTTGTGTGACACTATTGCTGGGGAGATGTGAACAAATGTCTCCTGACCCTAGATAAGGAACCAACAGCAAATCAAAGGATATCACCAAAGTCCAACTTGGTGAACCAATGAGTTTTATTATTGTTACATGATTGTGGGGAAGGGGTTACTTACAGGAGCAGAAATGACTCAAAGACAGCTGTATCACCAAAAGCCCACCCTGTTGTATGTGGAGGTTCATGAACGTTGGAATCCTGGAGCACACTGCACAACCTGTAGGTAGTTTGACAGGTCAGAGAGGGTCTTTTTTCCAGAGGCTTTGCTGGTCTGAGCCTCTTCCAAGCAGCCTAGTTTGTCTTGAGTGCCTAGCAGTTCTTACTGTTCATATAAGCTTGTGGAGGAAGGGTCTAGTGTATCAGTTTCAGGGACTTCCTGAAGCTCTTGATTTGTTTACTTTCTGAGTCTTAAGGAGCTTCTCTCTTTAGGATGAAATATTTCACCTCCCTTTAGAATACTCTGAATTCTAAGGCACTTCCCTGTGAATGGAATCTATCAATTGGGGGAAATTGCTATGCAAGAGGTTCTCACACTTGGCAGCAAACTCCCTTAGCTGCAGAGCCATCTTTCCAGTCCAATGGAGTCTTTCTTAGTGACTGTGATGACAATGACAAGGACATTGTTGCTGGTAATGACATCAATAATGTTAAAGATTACATGTTGTGGGCCAGGCGTGGTGGTGCATGCTTATAATCCTAGCATTCGGGAGGCAGAGGCCGGAGGATCTCTGTGAGTTCAAGGCCAGCCTGGTCTACATGGTGAGTTCCAGGACAGCTGGAACTACAGGGAGACCCTGTATCAAAAAAAGAGACCCCCCCCCAAAAAGATTACATGTTGTAGCCTTACTTTGAATTCACAATTTATAAATATTTTTGCATTCTTTCTTCATGTCATTCTCTAATCAACAGATGAACAATGTAAGTAATAACTGTATTTTGTAGGTGGAGCTCGGAAAAGTGATATGATTGCATATATATTTGGGGGGAAGGAGAGACACAGGGTCTTGGCATGTAGCCTAGATGTGTCTTGAACTCATGACCCTCCCACCTCAGTCTAAGTGCTGGAATTAAAGCCATGTGTCACCATGCCCAGCAGCTGCTTAGATGTTTTTGGACAGAAGAAAAGTCCTGATTTGATCCTGTGAAACCATAACTAAAATGGAGATTACAGATGTAAACACACCACATGCCCCAAAGCTCCCCTGTGCCTTCTGTTCCTCCTCGCCTTCCCTTCCCACCTCTAATCAACAACCTCTGACCTGCTTTCTGTGACTACAGATAGTTTTGCCTTTTTTAGAATCTCATGCAATTGGAATGTACAGTGTGTGCTTGTTTTGAGGCAGATAGTATTAGTTTCTTTCATCAGTTTAGCTACTCTCAGATTCATTTATGATACTATGGTAACAATACTCTTAAAATTTTTTCTTTACATTTATTTATATGCATGCACACAGAAGTCAGAGGACAACTTTCAGGAGTTGATTCTTTCCTTCCACCATTGGCTTTCAAGGACTGAACTCAGGTTATCAGCCTTGTCAGCCAGTGCCCTTACCAACTGAGCCACCTCACTGGCCCAATAATACTTTAAAATAAAGATTTATTGATTTATTTTGGTCATTTTGAGACAGGGTCTCCCTGTATCACCAACTGGCCTGGAATTCACTATGTAGACCAGGCTGACGTTAACCTTACAGAGATTCACCTGCTTCTGCCTCCTGAGTGCTGGGATTAAAGGTTATGCCACCATGTTGCTAAAAGATTTTTTTTTCCTGTCTTTTTGAGACAGGGTCTCCTTGTAGCCCCAGCTGTCCTGGAACTCACTATGTAGACCAGGCTGGCCTTGAATTCACAGGGATCCGACTGCTTCAGCCTCCCGAGTGCTGGGATCAAAGGCGTGCGCCACCATGCCTGCAAAAGATTTATTTATTTATTTTTATTTTTTGTCTTTTTGAGACAGGGTCTCCCTGTAGCCCCAGCTGTCCTGGAACTCACTATGTAGACCAGGATGGCCTTGAACTCACAGAGATCCACCTGCCTCTGCCTCCCGAGTGCTGGGATTAAAGGTGTGCGCCACCACACCCGGCTAAGATTTATTTTTTTAAAAATTATTTGTGGGCTGGAGAGATGGCTCAGCGGTTAAGAACACTGGTTGTTCTTGCAGAAGACCCGGGTTTGAATCCCAGCACCCATATGGCACTTAACAACCATCCATAAATCCAGTTCCAGGGGATTCGATGCCCTCTTCTGTCCTCCACATGGGTGA